GGGGGGGGGGGGGCTGAAGAGTGTTTCAAAGATGTAAGAGACAAACACAAGGGTAGAACAAAGGTGAGAAGAGTACTGTGGAAATAGTCGAATGTGACATACAATGGGGTGAGGGTAGTTTGAAGTGAGAAGTCAACTGCCAGTTAATAGACTTTTTTGCCGTATGAATATACTTTGTAACATACAGTGGGGTCATGGTAGTTTGAAGTCAGAAGTCAAGGCATACAGTGGGGTCATGGTAGTTTGAAGTCAGTGGTCAACTATACAGTGGGGTGATGGTAGTTTGAAGTGAGAAGTCAACTACCAGTCAATAGACTTTTTTCCGCATAAGTATACGTTGCCCAGGGTGCACCACATGGAGGTTGTAAGTACACGTTGCCCAGGGTGCACCACGTGGAGGTATGCCGTTTGAGTATACGTTGCCCATTGGTTTATAGACTTGTTTGCCGTATGAGTATACGTTGCCCGTCAATGGGGTGATGGTAGTTTGAAGTGAGAAGTCAACTGCCACAATGGGGTCATGGTAGTTTGAAGTTAGAAGTCAACTGCCTTTAATAGACTTTTTTGCCGTATGAGTATACGTTGCCCAGCGGTTTATAGACTTTTTGCCGTATGAGGTCTGTTGCCCAAATATGACATACAGTGGGGTCATGGTAGTTTGAAGTCAGAGGTCAACTGCCGGTTTATAGACTTTTTGCCGTGTTAGGGTTAGATCAACTGCCGGTTTATAGACTTTTTTGCCGTATGCGCATACACAATGACATACAGTGGGGTGATGGTAGTTTGAAGTGAGAAGTTGTGACATATAGTGGGGTGAGGGTAGTTTGAAGTCAGAAGTCCACTGCCGGTTTATAGACTTTTTGCCGTATGAGTATACTTTGTAACATACAGTGGGGTCATGGTAGTTTGAAGTCAGAAGTCAAGATGTCAACTGCCGATTAATAGACTTTTTTGCCGTATGAGAAGTGATAAGTCAACTGCCGGTTAATAGACTTTTTTGCCGTATGAGTGGGTTGCCCAGGGTGCACCGCGTGGAGGTAAGTCTATCGCAACAACTGCCGGTTAATAGACTTTTTTGCCGTATGAGTATACGGTGCCCAGGGTGCACCACGTGGAGGTAAGTCTAAATATACATTGCCCAGGGTGCACCACGGAGGTAAGTCTATTGCACACCCCATGATACCTATCATAACGCCTGCCATTTGAAAGTACGTTGTCCAGGGTGCACCACGTGGAGGTAAGTCTATCGTATTCTTAAGAATAATTGTTTAGAAAACCAGCAAGGGTTGAAAGTTGCCCAGGGTGCACCACGTGGAGGTAAGTCTATCGCACTCCCCATGTTTAGAATATAAATTGTCCAATGTAGATATGGACGATTCCTCCGTTTTATTATATTCAAACTGCTATTTTCTGTTCTATTGAGCAAATTTTATCTTCGAGTAACCCAAAAGAACAAATACTCATACCGAATTTGTGTTTTGCTTTTCTGGCCAGTGCAGAACGATGTCGTTTGGTTGTGAAATGTCAAAGAACAAAGTGGAATTCTCCTATATTTTAGAAAGATTTATTTATATCAAATAGCAGGCGTTTTGATAGTTATCATTAGACCTTTAGCTGACTTCGGGCTTGTAGACGGAACATCCAAGTAACAGAAAGTCGAGGGATGGGGAACAGTGAGAGGAGGAGGAACATCAAAGTGAGAAAAAGTCGAGAGGAGGGGAGGAACATTAAAGTCACAAAAAGTCGAGGGGTGGAGGAGACAGAAGAGTGATTCAAAGATGTAAAGGAGACAGACACAAAGGCAGAGAAAAGGTAAGATGGTACTGCAGAAGTAGTCGAGCATGCATAACAATGGGGTCATGGCAGTTTGAGTAAGATGTCAACTGTCAGTATGAGTAAACGTTGCCCAGGGTGCACCACGTGGAGGTAAGTCTATCGCACTCTCCATTTTAGAACGAAAACTGATGCCTATTCTTACAGAAAAGTATGAATGAGGTAGTATCTTCATGCCTATGATTCCAGCTTCCAACTTTGGTTCTGCACGGGCCTCTTAAACTAAGGTGTTAACTGCATAGGGCACCAATAGGAGGCAGTATTCAAGGAGATATGGTAATATCCTAATTAATCTCAGAGTTATCACTCATTGGGATATCATTAGGATTTCAACAATGCCTAAGTACCAGTTTTTAATGGTTTAAGTGTGCAAAAAGGTCACATTAGAACGCATGAATTAACGTTTTCCCCGCAAGTAGTTGTTAGACCACATATTCTCTTAAAGTAGAGTCGTGTAAATATGGCTTGTTAGTGGCTGTTTGTGTGGTCTGTTGATTACGTTGAATTAATGTAATTTGATCGTTGTGTAGGGTACGGTTAGTTTTGGAGTCGGCTCTATTATAAATACGATGCACCAGCAAGACAAAATGCGGAACTGAACCTAATGTAAGCTGACTTTGGGCTTCACAGAGGGAAGAAAGATCAAAGTGGGAAAAATTCGATAGAGGGTACAGAAGAGCAATTCACAGACGAAAGACAGAGGGACACAAATGTAGAGAAAAAGGTAAGGTGAGTATCATGAAAGTGGTCGAATATGATATACAGTGGGGTCATGGTAGTTTGAAGTGGGAAGTCAACTGCCGGTTAATAGACTTTTTTGCCGTATGAGTATACGCTGCCCAGGGTGCACCACGCGGAAATAAGTCTCTCGCACGCTCCAGGTCCTAACATTTATTTATATCAAATGGGAGGCGTTTTGATAGTTATCATTAGGCCTTTAGTTGACTTCAGGCTTCACAGATGGGAAGGGACATCAAAGTGAAAAAGGTCGAGATGGGGGGGGGACAGAAGAGTGTTTCAAAGATGTAAAAGAGACAGACACAAAGTCGGAAAAAGGGTGAAGTGAGTACGGTTGAATTAGTCGAATTTGACATACAGTGGGGTGATGGTAGTTTGGAGTCTGAAGTCAACTGCCGGTTAATAGACCTTTTTGCCGTATGAGTGTACGTTGCCCAGGGTGCACCACGTGGAGGTATGTCTATCGCACACCCCCCAGGTCCTAACATTGAAGCTTTCATTCTGCTCTTCCTTGCCCTAGGTCGAAAACGACTGGAGCCAGTAGCTGTCATAATTCTCGCCGTCATTATGGCAAGCTTATCCGTGCAGGTTATGGTGGAGGCCATGCAGACTATCTACAATATGGCCGTGAAAAACCAGGGCCCCCCAGTTATGAGCAATCTCACCATCTGCCTAGTCGCCTCCGCAATCGGTTAGTTTGACATTTGTACTTGAGGTTGGGGGGGGGGGGGGGGGGGGGGGAGGGGTGTGTTTTACTAAATGATTAATTTCAACTTTAACTACTGCACACACACTTCAAACTTTGTCCGGAATAATTTACCGAGCATTAAGACTGTGCATGCGTTAAAGAAACTTGAGTATGGGATATTGACTGGTTGCCTAGTTGGCTTGTAAGTTTCTGGCGCGAGTAATTCATTCCCAGGTGAGAACACAGAGGGGTCCGACAGTAGTAACATCTAAACCAAATTAGCAGTGTTTTCTAACAACAATCTTTGTGATGGAGAGTGACATCAGTGACTCGGATTCTGACACATTTTATAGCAGCCGGAGTTAAGTCGAACAGGGTGTTTGCCCTCCCATCTTATACATTTGGAAGTAGATAAATTGATTTCTCCTGTGTAATCACGTGCTCTTTATTTTTGACATTCCACTCCAAAAGTGCATTAAGTAAATAATCTGTAATTGCCTGTCTGAAGTTTTACTACAGAGAATCAAGGATGACCTTACAATCTGATTTGATAATAACCAACTCCGATGAGCCCTGGCCAACCTTTGACCCCCCCCCCCCACTGCTACTTCCAAAGTAACTTTCATGCTATCAATACTTTTTGTACTGCTGAACCTTTACAAAATTATTTAATTTACATGTATATTTCAAGCGGGTTATTATCTACTAATTCAATTTTATTTCTGTAACAAATAGTGTCACGCAGAGCTAATACTAACCTGAATTTGAGATCGACGTCTTTCCATTTCGATGGAGAAATCCTCGGCTATGCTGCTGTTATTTCATTCACACTCCCCTCCCCATCAGTGCTGTTGACGAGTTCATTTATACAACTGGGTTTGATTTTCACGTGATTCGCTGTTCCAGTTGTTTTTCTACCCTCCCCCCCCCCTCCTTTAACTGCCAATAAGAACAAGCGACCTTGACGGATGCCTTCTATTTGCTCCAATTTACAACCCTTGTATTTGGACTGAAGGATGGACTTAAAATTGCTTCTAATCGAAAGTTAAGAAGATTTGGAGTGAAAACATGAACCAAAAATTGTAGACTTTTGAAGTTTATGGTGATTTAGTTAAGTTAATACCTCAAGCATAGATCTGGTTAGTGATTCTGCTGACAATCTTAGTTAATATCATTTGGATCGTAAAATTGCTGCAATTCTAGTTCAAGGTACTTATAGAAACACAAGCGAGTCCAAATACCTGTCCTCAATTGAATGGTAACATGTTTATTTCCAGAATGAGGCAACTAGATGTTGGATGTCTTTATTACTTGCTTGGGAATTAGGTATTTCGATGTGCTATAGGCTGCTATCCCAGCACTTGCATATCAGGACATTTTCAAACTATAGCCAGGCAGTACTGAACCTCTCGTGTTTTGGTAAATTTTAGTTGTGAAGGTAATGCTCTTCTTGGCCTGTTGGAAGTTTGGACGTGGTGAGTCGGTGGCAGCATTACGGAATGACCAATTGAACGATTGCCTCAGTAACTCCGTTGCTTTGATCTTCTCTACGCTCTCAACTCGAATTGGTAGGTGCTAGCATTCTACCTTCCTACAACCCACTTCCATTTACAGATAACTTAGCAAATTAATCGTGCAAAATAAGTTCACAAATTAAACCTGTTGAGTGCAGGAAACGTGGTGTAAATAAATCTATTAAGACACTTCCTGTAGATAAGATACGTTGATATGGCAGGGCATAAAGCATAAAATGAAAGGTGAACAAAAATGTGTCAATATTTATTTTATTTATATCAAATGACAAGCGTTTTGATAGTTATCATTAGCCCTGGAGCTGACTTCGAGCTTCACAGAGGGGAGGAACATCAAAGTAAGAAAAATTTCGACAGGTTGGAATAGAAAAGTGATTCAAGGATGCAAAAGAGATAGGCAGACACAAAGTCAGAGAAAAGGTACGGTGAGTATTGTGGAAATGGTAGAATATGACATATAATGGGGCCGTGGTAGTTTGAAGTTAGAAGTCACCTGCCGATTAATAGACTTCTTTGCCGCATGGGTATACGTTACCCAGGGTTACAGCACGTGGAGGTAAGTCTATCGCACACCCCTTATGAATACATATAATGATAGGTATGTTTTGGAGTTCGACTCACGCCATGTTAAAATTGATGAATTCTCGATTGCATTTTTGGTACTTTACAGTATTTGCAACATTTATTCTACCCTTCCCTTGCAAAAATTAGGCTAAATACCCGAAGGTCGATTATCATTGCTCCTAATGTTCCGATGATATGACTCTTTAATCGCGACCCCCCTCCCGTTTCTAATACTTCACGTATCTAGACACCGTCTTAATTGCCCACTCGAATGGATTCTAATCTAGGAGCCTTTTGTCCAAATTACCTTCTTGGAGTTGCAGCATGATAGATTGGTCACTTTGTACTTATTCAAGTATCACCTTATTCGTTCTGATAGAATATCTGATTGGCTTTTTTTACCCTTGTAAGATATGCTTATCTCATACTTGTCTATTTTCCCTTTAAAAGAATGTAAAACATGTGAGTGAAATTCGTCATTAATGAAAGTGTTTGTTTGCTTTGCAGAAGGAGCTCCGTATCTGAAATATTTCGATCCTGTTGGTGCTTTGATTATCGGCTTTTATATCATTTACAGCTGGTGGAAGATGGGAGCTGGTGAGTTGTAGACCCTGTTTTCAAATAAATTTGGCCAATTAAAGACTACTTCACTCAATAATATTGAAAGTCCTTGTGTTAAAGCTCTCGGCTTCCACGAAGTCATCTTTTTATCTTGATAAATGTCATTAAATAACTAAAATCTAAGATTGCAGTGCCTAAATTCACTTGAAAATTGCTTTAAGGCTTAAACAAGTGGCAAGAAGAAGAGAGAGTAGGTGGGGGGGGGGGGGGAAGGTAAGGGGGTGTTAGGCAGGAGGTAGGTTCTCCTAGGGAGGAGGATCAAACATCATAAGAAGAAAATGGTGGTTGTGGAGCAGGTTGTCTAAGTAATGTGTAAGTGAAAATAAAGGCATTTTAGACTTCATGTCAGGTGGTTGAGGTTGAATTGAGTTTATTCCAACCGAGCAGGTCAGTCACTCAGGTCAGAGCAGATAATTACTAGAGTTTCGCAAATAACAAATGTTGGTTTTGCAGTAAGAGGCGTATTCGAATGAAAAGTCTATTAGAATAGAACTGCAGAATACTCTGCGTGGTCAATTTCATTCACCTTTATGCTTCTGGGTTATCGAATGAGGGAAGATTGAATTCCAGTTGTGGCTATTTGGGCGAGACAGGCACAAACTCTGTATATATAAATTGCTGTAGTAAAATAGATAAAGTGTAAGAGAACTGTTTTGCTGTTTGTAAATGGATGAATACATCGTGGTAATTTACACGTGGATCTTAAGGGACTTTAAATTCCAACTCTCCTTGTAGAGCATACTCGTAATCTGACAGGTCACACTGCTGATCCTGCCTTCCTACAACGTATCACCTTCATTTGTGTTAACCATCATCAATTAATAGAACGGTTGGACACAGTTCGAGCATTCCACTTGGGCAATAACTACATGGTTGAGGTTAGTAGAATTCACGTTCTTCAAGTATTGTTTCTACTGAATTAAATTAAGTAGCGTTACATTAGGTTGATATCGTTTTACCCCATGATATGGATCTTCACAAAGCCCACGATATTGGCGAATCACTACAACAGAAGTTGGAGTCTCTCGACGAAGTAGAACGCGCTTTCGTCCA